ACCTTTCAAATAAAGTATCACTCAACCCCTATCTCCCCAAAACAAAATCATTCGACGTGTTTCGGGAAATTTTTCCATTCACTATGAGATAAGAAATATACGGGGTGGAAAACTAGCAAATTCCTGGTGTACTCCAAAGTTTCTATCGAAAATACTTGCTTTCATCTGATCATCATCAACTATTTTAATCATTTCAGTACGAAGCATCCGTGAAAATTGTTATTTTTAAACGATTTATTCTTTAGTGTAATTCAATGTTCATATGAAAGTAGTAGTCTCGAAATTATTTCTTTTCTTTGGTGTATTTCAATGTTAATGCGAAATTAGTTATTTCCTATGGATTTTTTGTCAGTTTATATTTGGAAAAAACTCCTAGGCAACTTTTTTTATAGTAAAAAAGCCTGAACACTTCTCATTTTGGATCGCATGTTGAAGTTTATATTTTTTAGTGAGTCAAATTTTTAATTTAGCCCAGATGAATATTTTCATTCGGTCCATATTTTTCAATTTTCACAGTAACAGTCTATATTATGGTTTATATTTCATTTGATCAGTGACATTAGTACAAGACGCAAGAAATTGAAAAGATTTATTTGTACATATAAAGTCACTTATGTAGTTAACATCAGTACTGGTATTCATCACACAAATAGAATTCGTTTCATGTCTCATTTTTGGAATGAGTACAAGCAATAAATATAGAACAGGTTGTAGACATCCAGATTGATAGTGGTTTGTCGATCATTTTGCTTAAGACTACTTGGTCAATGATGTTATTTCTTCTTAAACTGAAATAAAAAAATAAATAGATAAGTACGAGAGGAACTTCAGTTACAATTACAGTTACAAACAATGAACAATTAAATAATGTGTGCTCGTGAAAAACTCTCGCTACCCCTATCAACTTTTGGAAGGCGTTGCAAAGACAATAGCATTGCATCATTCGTCACCAAAGAGGCGCTACAACAGATCAGTTTCATTTCGCGACCCCATTTCGCACGGATAGCAGAACATACATGCCTATATTTTTTGGCATAATGTTACATCAGCTTGTCCATGAAGAAGGTTTCGTTTATAGCTGAATGGCGTGTTTCTGAAGATAAAAGAGTTTGAAGTTTTTCCCTCTAGAAAGATCTAGAACATTTCAGAGTATCCAAAAGCATTTCACAATATTCCAGAATACCTGAAAACAATCTGGAATGTTGTGGAATATTCTGGAACAAGCTGTTATATTCAGAAAAATCCTGCTAGATTCCAGATCTTTGTAGAATATTCACCTGGAAAGCGTGTTCTCGAAGGGTGGAAGATTTGTTTTGCAGAAATTTCTACTACTGAATTTCTCACCCTTGAAAAAATATTCCATGAACGTGAACATGTGAACCTGTGATTAATTTCACGCTGTAACAAAAATCACACATATCTTGTGACGTTACACTAGCTTTCGAGAAGTGCGCAGTACAAAGTCGAGTTCTTCAACAACGGTAAATGCTATGATTTAGAAATTTTTGGCATTGCATTCTGTATGATTAACACTATCAAAATATATACAAAAATTAGATTCGGCTGAACGACCCTATTGACAATATAAAACTAAACAATCTGCAGGACGCCTGAAAAAACAATAGAACAAAATTTATTAGAATTAAGTATTGGAAATAGTGAATTGGTGGTGTGATTGAGTACCAGGCTTTCGACCCTGGGATTCAAAGATCGAGCAGAACGTCTACCAGATATTTTTCCCGCGAAAATGTATCTAGTTGAAGGTGCTGAATTGATTTTGCTACGGGACTGCTGACGGAACCGCAAATAGTCTTAGTGCCCCTTGATGGTTCGGAAAGTTATCAACCCAGTCTCCCCTGAATGGTGCGATGAAAGTATTTTCGTTCTCAGATTCAAATTTGAAAAAACTTATATGAAGTGACTTACCAGCACGTCAACTATTTTTGGCTTGAATTCTTCTGAAGGTTCATTGCTACCAAAATCATCAGGTGATCTCAAATCTGATATATCAGATTGTGTCTCCATATTCTCTTCATCAACATGTTTTTCAGCATTGGCTTCTTGGTCAGACGTAGCGGAATATTCTTCTTCTTGCGCAGTGTCACTCTTGTCAGTCAAAAAATAATGATCATCGGTCACAGATTCATCCTCGCTCTCCTCTTTAATAGAAAGTTCCGTACTATCTGCAAGTCTACTATCTTCAACACTAGAGCCATCACTCAATCCGGTATCTAAGAAACCATTAAAAGTTGAAGATACAAATTTCATTTGTTTCCTCTTCGATATCTTTCTTCTACTAACGGTAAGTGTTTGAACCTCTTCTGGTAGATTTTCCTCCTCTAGTTCTTTATTCTTCAAATACGACTCCCAGGCTTCTAAAGAGTGTAGCGATACTGCCGAGACAACTCTCCTCCTTTCTCTCTTGAAATCTTTTTCTATTTGAGATGGTAAATTTTGAACTGAAGTAGATAATGGCGTGATATGGTAATTAGTATTCAAATTTTGAATAGAAGAATAGTGGCATTTTCTTACGTCGTCGATACTGTTACTCTTTCTGTAATCTACTTTTTTGATGTATTCCTCATGATAAATTATTTTTCGAATATTTGTTACTATATCACTTAAGAGTTTCAGGATTTCTTTGTAATGATTGTCTTTCACTTTCTCTAAAGCCAGCACTTGGTAGTCTGGGTCTTTCTGATCAGTAACTGAGTTGAGGCAATCATTGATGTTGATTTTGATTTCTTCCTCTAATTTTTCTGCGCAACTGAACATATATTTACAGAGTTCGTTCAGAGTTGGACTCATTCTGCTGTGATCGCTGGAACTGAAAAACTTTTGTTTAGTACTGATATTGAGATATTCATTATCTTTCGAAAGCAATAATAAATGTTGGAGGAGACTTCAAAAACGATGCTCCGATGAAATTAAGATTAAGGTGAACAATTGTCATTTCTTTCATGGATTTGACATCTCATTTCTAGGTTTCAGTTGAAACGACATCTGTTTGGGGCTCGATTTGATAAAATATTCTGAAACCAATTTCAAAGGTGACAATAAGAGAAAATGAACATCTTATCAAACGAAATAAGTGAAGAGTTTTTGGTCGAACCACTGAATACCCACGGGAAGACATTTCAGCAGGTGGTGGTTAGTCTCTTCAGTTGACCTGTGAGAAAACGATTCTCTCTCCTATATATTTGGAAAGAACTTCTTCTACCTTCCCGATAATATTATGTCTAATTTGTTGAGAACTCTTATAACATCCAGATGTTCAGATAACTAAGATGATCTGAATTCTGCTTAGATGTTGCATGCTTTGCTTTCCATTAGTAGAACGTATGTAATTTAATATTTTGAAAGAAAGAGTGAACAAAACGTGAAAAAAGGATAATGTCGTGAACTGTTCAGAATCTTCATTTATGTACTGAGGAAATTGCAACTGATCAATTTCTGGAATGTAGCTAGTGTAGTAGTAAGTGTCAGTAAATTCAAATCTCTTGTGTAATAAAATAATAGGATGAATAAAATGAATAGAAATAGAGGATATCTGAAAGGTCATTTAATGCCAGTTTCTCAATGGAGCTTCAACTTTCCAGAGGAAATTTATGTCGTGGCAACTCAAGCAACGCTGTCATCCCCAGAATGAAATTGATTCACTTTTCCCGGTAACCAAGACTGACAGATCAAAATGAATCAAAAGTTCGAAATTTTCGTGGGATACTTGGGTCCAACCACTAACCCCTCTGTTAGAGAGTGTCTAGCAAGCTAGCAAGAAAACCGATTCGTCGTGAGATAAAAAAGTACTATTGTTGAGTGACGAGAAATTAAAATTGATTTGATCGAGATGAGCGCGCTATGTCAAGATTCAGTTCCTTAAAAAGCGTAATGAATGTATTTTCACGCTATTTGCATCTTTTTGCATCATATTCTATTGAAATGCTTCATACTGGTACCATATAACTGATATCAGAAGATGCGACGGATTGGTCTAGTGTGAGAAACCGACGTTACTGGAAAATGTAAATCGGAGAAGTTTTTGCTCTATTACAAAATAACCAATAATTGAAATTTCGAGAAAACTGAAGACCTAATTTATGAATATCTCAAAATGGAGGATTCTTTGATTATCGCTTATGGATTTCTACTCCTCAAAATTGGGTCAGTTAATTTTGTTAACTCTTTATTTGTCATTGAATAAAGAATCGTTTCAGCTTTCGTTTAATGGAGTTTTCATACTTCAAGAATTAGTTTTCAATAGGAACTAACTGGTCAAACCCAAAATTTTGTGAAAGCTCATAGTATGGTCTCTTCTGGTATGGCTTTGCTTACAGGATGTTTCGTTTGAAAACAAAGTAATGCGAATTTTCATTTCTCCTGCAAGAAATAAGCATCACTCGATAAAATCATGAACATTGAATGAAATTTTCCATTCACTTTTATCGAGTAGGAGATATCCGAGTGTTGTAGGATCCCATTTTGTGACACCAATCTCACCATAACTTCCCCACTACTTGATATAAACCATGACAACCTTATATTTTTGAGAATCACTCTTTTGAGGAAAATTTATGGAATAAAAATGTTTAGGATTTTTGATAAAACACAACTTTGGTAAATCACATATACATTACATAGTTTTCAATACTCTCTACTTCTCTTATTTGGGATATTTTTTTATCCCCAATAGGGAAGCATATATCGTCTACTCACAAATAATTGATACACTATGTAAGTAATAACTCACCATGTTGGATGTGATATAGGTCTGAATTCTCGATTCTTTTTTGAAGACTGTGTTATTTCTAAGCTCAGAATAAAAACAAAAACTACGCAGAAAATGGAAGAGATAATCAAATCCCTTCACGTAATTCAAGTCAACTAAACGATTACTTTGCGTCCCTTCCTTTCTACTATAAAAACGAGTGTTTTCTTTGAATCACCACCTCAATAAAATCAAACTGCTAATTAACGTGAACAAAATACTGATTAGGAACAAGCGTAGTCGATCCCTCCTCGATTTAAAATTCAAGAGAATCTTATGTGTGGCAACTACATTATGAATTTTAACGTATCCAAAAAACACTGTACTGTGAGATTTTCACGTGTCGCTTTTTTTAAAATCGTTTAGTGAATTTCTCACAACAAAGTGTTTTTGAATACGTTAGTTATGGATTTACATCAAGTATCGATCAATTCCATCATATATTATGAATTTTGGTTGGTTGGTTGGTTGGGTAACAGAATGATTTTTTTCTTAAAATAACAATTGATTTCTTGTCGACGTGACGTTTCAAATTTGACTGAATTATTCTTCAGAGCTCTATAATAATGAATTTTTATAAACATACCTGTAACAAAACGTATACGGTTATTATCGTTTCAAAATGTCTGATGGTTTATTAAAATATTAATATTATCAACACGGAAAAAACTACTTTTCGGTAAGTAATTTAATTGAGAACTCATTATTTCTTGTGAAATTGAATCCGATCCGTATAGTATACATCCGTAATCAAGTATGGATCGAATGTACGACTTGAAGAACAATAAAGAAATTCTGGGATCTGCCCCCATTAATTTCTACAGAAGCATTTGAGAATGTTTATGCCTTTTTCACATTCGAACGTAGTTGATATGCTTCTTCCATGTGAGCTCATTAACTAAAATCAACCCTAAATATTAATAACTAGGTACTACTCGGATAGACAGAGAGCCTAGATTGATGTTATCTCCAGCTCTCAGTCTATGCCTAGTAAAGAACATCACTGCTGATTTTTCTGGAGGAAAGAAGAAACCATTTTCGATTAACCAATATTTAAGGCAATACATGATGACCAATACTAAGGTCTACTACACATTCGGAATACGTCTCACGGCCTGTATAAATACGAGATCACCCGCATATTGAATACATCTTATGATTTCTAAATAGTTTACCAATATTAGCTAAAGTTTTCGCATTGAGCCCAAAATTCCTGAATTCTTACTCGAGTATGTTCCAAACAACTAATTTATATGCCTCCTTAAAGTCCAGAAACAATCCTGGTAAATAATGATTATCTGCAAAAGCACACTGTATGTCATTATTGGTATAGTGATTTGCATTCAAAACTTTCGAAAAAGTACATGTGAATGTTATCAGTTATCCTCCTTTGATACTACTCTTCTCAAATTTAACGACAATTGCAGTTTTTTATAACCTGAATACATCGAATGAAATATGAAGAATAACGAAAGTTATTCAATTTGTATAATTTAGATAATTTAGGAAACAGTTGCTACATAAATTGCATTTTACAAGTATTGTTCATGACGAAGAATTTCAAGAATGAGGTTTAAACGATGAACGATAACGAGAATTTTTCCTACTTATTCACCAAACTCAAACACCCGTTCATGCAGCTGCAGTTTCGTAAGAATGTATGATCTTTCTCATCAACCAATTTCCTAGATACTCGTTAGGACAACAAGAGGATTGTTCCGAATTCTTGTTGAATTCTCTTCGAGAGCAGGAAAATAGCAGAATCAATATTCCTGACCTCTCTGGACTGAATGGTTCCGTACAGTCTATCTCGTCTATTTGCTGGAATAAATCCTAACTAGTTCACTTTGTAATACATGTTTGAAAGATAGCAAAAACGTATGTGACTTTATGGAACTTCAACTATCGTTTCTTAACCAGTCCGTGCTTATTGCTAAATCAACTGAAAATAGAACTTTTAACGGGTGATGATCAACTGTATTGCGCCAAACTAACTGACTATTATAAGACAAGAAGTATATGGCTGAGGCACCAGTCAATCTAATAATAGCACTGATGATCTTCAAACATAACTCAACCTCTGACGGAAACACCAAACTCTTACGAAGGTTTGAAATAGATGAGCACTTCAATCCAGCAGACCACTATCATAATCTTCATGTAGTCATTGTTTACTGTTGACTATTTGGATATTCCACTACATTTGAATTTTTCAAAAAGTTTCTTAATCAACAACCAGTATTTCATTACCAACAGATGTTGATAAAAAATGATATAACTTGAATAAAAAGCAATTTTTTTCTAGTAAGTATCAAATGGCAGTTGTCTTTGTGAGTTTTTGAAGCTTCAAACTGACTTCCTGTTGGCTCAAGCCATTATTTTGAACAGATAAAAAAACATCATCTTGATGTGTATCCTCATTTGCAATATCTTCAGTTTGAGCACCTTTCTTTTCCTCAACAACTTCTATAACATCAACAGACTTTTCATCTAAGAAATTCAAACAACTGCCAATGTAATTTTTGCAAAGCCTAATTTGATCCAAGTTGAAACTGTCATTGGTTTTCATGTCACTTATTTCATGGTAATAGCTGGTGAGGGTATTTTTTATGCGATTGTACTGTGTTCCGTTTTTCTTTCCTACAAAATCTGCAATTTGATACTCGATGGCCTCCAGTTGTTCGTTAATATCGGTTATTCTATCGAGTAGAGTCGAATTGCCGTTTGAGGGGTGGGGTGCATCTTCAGGGGATACGATGGATATTTTTTTGTTGGGCATTACTACTCCTGGCAAAACGGGCACCCCCATTTTCAGAATGGATTTTCTTTTCTCTTCCGCACTTTTCATTTTTGGAGAAGATACTTCAGAGTGCACATCTGCTTCAACGGTCGTTTCTGGTATGACCTGAACAAACTTCAATTCCACAGTTTGTCTTTTTTCTGAACTATTAGCTAGCTGTGATTTCTCGTGTTCTTCATATTTTTCATTAAACTCATTGACACCATATTCTTCATAGGAGTTATCTTCCTGGTCTTCAGTTATTTCTATGTCATCCTCTTCCTCAAATTTTGTACCACTTTTCTTTTTCTTCGATTTACTCTCTTTTTGTTTCTGCTTCTCGTGTTGTTCTGATTCTTTCATTCGAGCTTTCTCATGATTTTCGAAAACTTTGTCATCCAAGGCCTGATAAGCTTCTTCAAGTTTATTCCAAGTAGTTTGGTAAATATTCCTTACTTGTGGTTGTAGATCGTTTTTTCTCTTTTCTAAATTGTTTCGGATCTGATTCAATTCTTGCATCAATTCTGCATATTTTTCATGTTCTTCTGTTTCCCGGAATCTTTTGATGTCTTGAATTACTTTGTCAACTTTTGATTTCAGGCCATGTATTGTTCTTCTTTGAGATCTTCTTGCCACAGTATTTCTTCTTTCCAAATGAGATTTTGATGTCGATATTCCCATTTTGTCTGAAACGAGAAAATTATTTTTGAGTCACTGATGTTCTTAACGGAATGAAAATTCAATATATTCCAAGAAAATATACAGAACTAGCACAGATGGTACATCACATATATTTTTCTTATGTCATGCCATGTCATAGTATCGCATCATCAATTTTAATTTCAAAATATGAAAGTAACTATTTTATACTGTTTTTTGGAGTTAATACCCTTTCACAATCTGATAAAATAAAAGCTAAATTAATAGAGAATCTTCTGAAGTGTAGTAAAGGGCAAACTGAAAACGTTTGTTTGAAGGTAGTCGACAAAGTTTCGTGATGCATCTCATTATTTCGGACTTCCATCGTCTAATACGGTAATTGATTTGAAATACCTGAAAAAAATCTGTAAAACAGCAAAAAAAGGTTAGCTGAAAAAATAACAATTATATTAAGCAAAATAAATTGAAATTACAATGAAATAAAAATACAAGCAACAACCAAAAAAATTAAAAAAAAATGTAAATATCAATGAGCCACTCAGAACTTGGCCAGATTTTTACTACCAATAATTAAACCACTGCAAGGAAAAAATATCATCCTTTGTGAAAAATTCAAGGCATTTTGTTGAACTACTAGGGGCAATCGAAGTCAAAGAGCAGGATCAACTGCTTAGTTTCGACGTGGAAAGCCTCTACACCAACGTCCCTATCAAAGAAGCACTTCGAATCATACAGAGGAAGCTATCCGAAGAATCACACCTGGAATATAGGACAAACTTACCGATACAAGTAATTATGGAATTACTAGGATGCTGTCTACGAAACTGCCTGAAGAAAGGATTCTTTACGGGACTGCTAATGGAATCGCCACTTTCACCGGTTATAGCCGATATATATGGAGTTGTTTGAAACTCTGGCCATTGAAGAAGCCCACAAGAAGCCCCGAGTCTGGTTGAGATACGTGGACAACATCTTCATAATGTGGACCCATCGGAATGCAGAACTAGACACCTTTCTGAAGCACATCAACAAGGAAAGGATAAGAAAGATTGGGTCTAAGTATAAGATCAGAACCTGCTTCTGATCTGGGAACACTATCCGTAGCAGCCTCACAAAAACCAGGCCACCCAACGCGGACTGCGATTTCAATAACTGCATTTACCGGATACTCTGCGAGTGCGGAGAATCATTCATCGGTGAAACTAAGAGGCCATTGAAAAATCGCATTGCCGAGCATAAGAAACACACACAGCGAGGAGAAACCAGAAAATCAAGAATAGCAGAGCATATTTAGACTCATCAACATGACATCAAGTGAGCTCAAGCTGAAATTATCCACAAGGAAGAACACTAGTTTAAGAGAAAATTCAAAGAAGCCGCATATATGTTGTCCAACAACGCATTCAGCCAAGCTAGTGCAGAGATACGCAACATATGGAAACCTCTAATCTAGCGAAATACAACCGACCCCCGCCAAATGGTCAGCATCCGCTGAAACCGATGAAGCGTAGAGATGGAAGAGGGGATAGGTGAAAACACTCGAATGACCTATAAATAGTCAGCTCTCGGAGGAATAAGTCCAGTTATCACCCGAAGATGATTGTAGATACTAACAATAGAAACGTCGGTACTTGGTTTGGAATCTTTCAATTTTTAATTTATACCTTTCATCCAATCTGAACCATCCTGAATATTCATATTTGGACAAATGAGAACACATGAAATTCATGAAATCACTACTTGAATATAAAATAATGTTGCTTTATATGTGGTTAATTCAGTATTACTATTATATTCACTCGTATTCCCGAATAGAATGAACTAACTAACAAGGTTGCTGATATCTAAGACAAATAGTTTTTCTGAAATAATTCTACGGTACACGCCCAGTTAAATTTAATCAGTCCATCAAATAGTGATGTCTCTCACAGAAAAAAAAAACTGATTTTCATAATATTGTCATCACTGCCCTAAAAAAAAACTTTGCATCTAGTTCAATTATTGTCAATACTCAGATTTGACTTTTGTAATTGTATAGAAACATGAATATAACCTCTCAGATCGTTATTTTTTATATCAGAGATCTTATCACTAAGAAAATAAATGATTCATGTAATTATTCGGAAGTAGTGAATTTAGGGGCAAATAAGAATTGCATCACTTACAACTTACTTTTGAATCAGCATATAGACACTGGTTTCACCTCGTTTCTAGGAAAGGACACTAGATGGGATAACTTCAAATGGAGCGAACAACTCCGTTGCAATAATCACTGGCAAACAGGTACGAATTGTCATGATAAAAACGGCTGATTAACAAGTAGAGCTTGATTAGAGATAACGTTGTTTATCAAGCTATATACCCAACCAAACCGTATTTCGTCATATAGATATATCAACAAGTTTGTCTTTTATGGGGAGAATATAAAATATAAAAAATTTCCAATTCGCTTATATGATTTATTGAAATGAAATTAGTTTTCGTCTACTTTGAGTGATGATTGGAATGATGAAAATTCATCCAAAACACATAATGAATCATTATATGTAGTACGAAGGTTAATTACATATGTTTTGAAGTATATAAAAGTGATAATAATTAATTATCATGAGAACACAAACATATTTTCTCAAAGTGGAAGTCAAAACTTGAATTATTTTTGGGATTTATATACAATTTCGAAACAGCTTATTGTCTCTTACGATGTAAAAATGAAACTTTTTTTGTCGCTCATCATATATTCACTAAATATTACTGGAGTTTATTCCCAACACCAAACCGTTATTTTAACATCTCGACACGAGTTTTGATCACTAAGTGATCATCTTCAAGAGGAAGATCTTCCTTCCCGTCTCCCAACAGGGAGACGACCTCGAACGCTTGTATCTCGAATGGAAGATCCGAGTGAACCCGGAAAAGACGATAACCATGGGAAAAACGATATCTTCTCCTGCTAGGAAAGTGAGGGTCTCTGGAAGAGAGATCGACTGGCGAGCGCGGGTAGAGTACATCGGTCTTCTAATAGACCGTACGTTTACCTGGAACCCGCACATTGATTCCGTTAAGACAAATATCGAGTGTCAGATCAGAAGTATGATTATGACAAACGCTTCACAAATACAGGGTGTTTCATCTCAGATGAGCCACCCTGTATATTTCGAACGTCGAATGATTTTGTTTGGGGGACATCTTTTGACGTATATTTTAGGCTTGAACGAGCAACCCCCTAATAGGGGGCCCCTCAACCTCTCAAACTTGAATAGGAAAGAGGGGTTGAGTGATACTTTATTTGAAAGGCCTTGGAAGCCTCTTTATAACGGTGTATGAAAAACGTAAATTTGATGAACCGTTTTCGGCAAAAATCAATTTTGCAGCTCGAATGAGCCACCTTGAATAATTTGGTTATTTTTACAATGTACAAGACCATTTTTATTAAGCCCTTTCCACAAACTCAAACAATCGTCAAAAAATTACATTCTTGAAAAATTTAATTGTGTTATCATCATGCTGAGAATCAAATAAGGCAAATCTGCGTGTTTGAATCCAATGTTCAAATTGTCCTCCATTGACTTCCATTAAATAATACTTTCTCTCAAACTTATAAATAAAAAAACAGCAAAACATTTCCTTATCTTGCCTCAATTTTTTTTTGCTTTGGAGGTGATGATTATCTGGTTGTAACGTTTCTTCGATCATTTCAGATTTGAAATCAATCTGTTGAGTTACTACTTTGCTGATTTGTTTAAAATTTCAAAAAAGATGATGTACACATTGCAAGAACATGTTGAGCTGGTTAACCTTTATCACCAAAAACAAAATTGTGCCTGAACGGCTCCAAGGATATTTAACCAAAACCATCCTGAACGTAGCGTTCGCCATAAGTACGTACTGGAATTGATTTCAAAATTTGTGGAGACGGGTTCAGATATTCATAAAAAAGGGCACCCAATGGAATTGTGAATGATGAAGGAGTAGCTGTGGCGGTATTGGGCATGTCCAACTTATGCCAAACACGCAATCTGTACGACAACTTTCTGCAGTTTCCGATATTAGTCAACCTAACATTTTCAGAATTCTACATAGACACAAGTTCCATCCGTACAAAATAAATTAATTCATCAATTAAATGATGATGATTGGAATCGAAGGCAAGAGTTTTGCGAAATTATGGCCGAGCGATCTTTTTCATCCATCGAATATTTTGATTATGAAAACTACTTACTAATTGGACTCTTCAATGGTTTACTGAGAGATATATTCAGTTTGCCCATTATGACAGTTCAGCAGATTCTCTATCGACATAGCTTCGTTAATTTTTCAGAATTGTTGAACTTGAGGCTTCAAAAAAAAGAATAATGAATTTTTCAACAGTTCTGTGCTGAACAATGAAGTTGTTGCCATAAATTCAAAAACCACTGGACGGATTTTCATGCAGAGTTCACCGATGGACGAAAAAGACGAAAAAAAAAAGAATGTGAAATAATGATGTGGTAATTGGAAGAAAATCAAACGCATGTAATAAAAATCCTTATGAAATAAATAAGTCAGTTACGATTGTATCTCAATTGCTTACATCTAGACTACGTACCTGCATCCTAGAAAACTGTA